AATATTTATTCCTGCAGTGGTTCTTGCAAAAAAGAAATTCATGATCAATGGCACTCTCTACGATCTCCAACATTCGAACCATCGCCCTTTAGGGCGACGTTGACACCTTACGACTATTTGTCGTGTTTCAACCGATAAAGTATCCTCACACTTAATTTATTTGATCTGAAGATTGTTCACTGTGATATAATTTTGGTGCATGTTATTCTTGATGATTTGTTCAATGCCCAGATTAGGGATTTTAGTTTCTCTCTCAAAAGCAATGAAGATGAGATTGACATAAGAAGATTCAAATCCATTTTTTGGTTCACACTGCTTTGAGCGAAGGAGATGAGAATCAATGCTAACATCGATGCTAGTAGCTTCAATATTTTTCTAACTAGGATCATCAACAAGATTATCAATTGTTATCAGACCATTGATGTGTCATATCCTCACCATTAACAATGTCACTCCTTAAGAAAGAAAAAGCCTTGGAGATCTTTCATTCGACCATAACTCTATCATGAGATCCAGTGATAATGCACCCAACTCTACCTTTTATCTTTCTTCCAACAATTTGTTCGACAAAACTTGTGGATGGATCCCTTGAGCTAAGAAACCCATGAGATCACTATTCAATTGGCCTTGAAGGGGAAGAAATTAAGGATATTTTTGAAATAATTTTAAGTGTTATTTCAATAAATAAGAAAATTTTAGTATTAGATGTTTAAATGAATAATTATTAGTGCTTTTCTTCAAGGTCTGCTAAATTTGATATTTTGGTGCGAAAAATTCTTAGTATTTTTTTTTCTATAAAATTGAGCTTAAATTATAATATGTATTATTCAAACCCATAAATTCACAGTGGGAGATAAAATTCCCAACAAGTATCAATAAAATTCTTAGTTTTGAGTTTTTCTTAGAAAGATGAGCCGAACCCGTGATATTATAGTATGAAATTATACTTTAGCCACTATGTTAGGTAATTAACTGGTTTTTTTTTTCGGGAAAGTGCGGGTCACACTTGGATATATTTAAACAAAAAATCATAGGAGCTCAAATAATAACATACAACAGCAAACAAAATAACACAAAAAAGAAACTTTAACAAAACAAAAATGAACAACAAGCAAATCCTAAAGACCATATAGACAAAACAGAAAAGACCAAGAAATTCAAACCAACCAAATAAGGCCATAAGTAGATTCCTCATCCACAACCAGAATAGAAAACACTCTCATCAAACCAGAAACTCAAAAAAAGACTTATTACATGAAGAACAACAAGGAGAAACTTCAATGTTCTAATTAAGGAAGAAAAGTGAGAACAACAAAAGAAGATATCAAGGATCAGCACATCTAGTCGAAATTCATCTTCATATTGTGCAGCTGGAGATAAATCTTTGAAGATAATCAATCGTTAACCGAAAACTAGATCTAGAGAACCTGCAAAAGGAAATCAAATAAAGGGCACGACTCGAAAAAAGAAAAACAAAACCTTAAACAGGGAAGAAACCTTAGAGATATTGATACCAACAAGCTAAAATCATTGAAAAAACTGAGCGACATGCTCATAAGGTACCATACTAATTAGAAATATAATCTTTTTACAAGTGATAGAAGAACCTTTTTGAATTTTCATTTTTTTCCTTTTTTGCCTTATAGTCATATGAATATTTTATACCTAAAAATCATGGCTGTTGAAAGCAATTCTGAAAATTATACTATTCCTTTACAACCGATCTAAGGGCAATTTTCGCCTAGTAGGATCTAAAAGCAAACACTTGCAACCCCTTATTCTTAACACCCTAAATTTACCTACACCCGTTTTTGCTCCTGATCTTAATATCCTTACTTCCAACAACCAACATAGCATTGAATCTTCAACTGACGTTGCCCTAATCAGGATGTGGAGCTTAACAGTCCAACACTGCGCAACAATGTTGTTGTTGCGCATAATTAACCCGATCCATCTCTTCTTCTCCCTTATCTTCCCCTCCCCTCTAGATAGAGCATTACATCCTCGTTACCCTCTCTCCACTCTAATTTCAAAGCTAAGAAATGTAAAACCAAAGGGTGATCTTCCCATTTTCAAAATTAATTCATGTTTTATCATACAATCCTAAATTGGAATGTCTGTAGTTTCAATAGTGATGTATGCATCGCTGATTACATAAAACTAGTTAATGATTATAATCTTGATATTGTGTGTCTGCTTGAAACCAAACCCTCTCTCTCAATCATTTCTGATCCCTTCTCTAGCAAATACTTTAATGTGTTCCCAAACGAAATTAACATGCATAATTTTCATACTACATCTAATGAAAAAATCTGAATTAAGTGGAATTCAACATGTATCTCATTTATTGTTCTTGATGTGCAAACTCAACTTATACATGATGGATCTCATATTCTTCTTCATTCCCTTTCTTCATGACATTCGTGCATTTTGAAAATTTTCCAGTGAAATGGAGAAGACTTTATCTTTCTGTTGAAATGATGCTTGTTAACATTGACGAGCCTTGGGTCATTAGGAGAGATTTTAATTGTACTCGAAAGGTTGAGATGAAAATTAGTGGCAACCATCCCATTCCCAGCAAGCTTGTTGATTTCAACAATTGCATCTATAACTCTAGCTTTTTTGATCTCCCTAATATCGACTCAGTTAGTTTGACAAATTACTGGAAAATCCAACTAGGTGTCTTTTAGATAGGGCCCTTAGCATAATGCATTGAATACTCACTCATTTACCTCTCACTCTAAGGTTATAAAGCACAGCTTTGATCATAGTCTTGTTATTCTATCTTTATTTGAATTGTGCATATTGCATTAAACATAAAAAATAAAAAAGTACTGAAGCTAAAAAACTACACATAAAAATGAACGACGTGGCAGACATCTTTTTCCACCACACGCAAAAAGTTAGAATCATAAGTGTGACCTCCCAAAAGAAAAACTTATCCAAAGCATGTCGAGCACAAAAATGAGCATATTTGTTACATTTTCTATTAGCAAAAAAAAGAAAAAAACTTGCTTGAAGTCGTGCAAGAAGGTAATGTCTGGTCTTCCATCAATCATTCGTATCCACCTTTTGTCCATCATACGACTTTTAACATAGTTAATCACCATTTTTCTCTCTTTCGGGAATTCTACTTGCATCAGAAAAAGATTTATGTATAAGAATTTTGAAGTTGTCCAAATATTTTTTAATGTTGTTTCCAATGCTTGATGTCTAAGGATCCTCTCTTTGTTTTATGTAACAAATTGGAAAAAAAAAAAAATCATGTGAAATTAAAATTCCTCCACCTATATTTCTAACTCTATTTCTGTTTTGAAAAATCAACATGTTGATTATATTGAATTAACTATAAAGTTAGTCCCATCATCAGGATCTGCTCTCCAAAACCAATGCTATTTAAAATTAAGTGAATAATCTCCTTGCTTGTGAGTATAAATAGATTAAGCAAAAGACTAAATGTGCATGACTTTCCAAAGAGAATGATGATATTAAATTTCCTTACAACAAGATCAAAATTCATAATAATAAAAATTCAATAGAAAATTATTGATAATAAATTTCATATTTTATCTCATAAAGATATTGTCAATAAAATCATTAATTACCTTTACTCCTGGGAGCATAAAGCAATCAACCATCACGCTCATCCCTAAGAACAACCTGCAACTTGTATTACTAATTATAAGCCCATACTTTTTTATAGTATTATTTATATGATTATTTCTAAATTACTTGCCAAGAGATTTAAGCCGATTTTACATAATATTATTCATAATGCCTAAACAATTTTTACATCTAAACATGATATAGATGGTAACATCATTTTGTCTAATGAGTTATTTTTTGGCTTTAGTTACACTAATGCTTCTAAGAAAAATGGTCCTAGGATCAATCTCACAAAAGCTTTTGATAATGTCAATTGTCAGTTCTTATATGAGTGAATGTAGCATTTATGTTTTCTTACTTTACTTGTAAAATGGATGAATGAATGGATAGATCATGTTCCTTTCTGTTATTGTTAATGGTGAGATAAATGAATTTTTTAACTCTACATCAACCTTGCAACAAGGATGCCCTCCCTCTCCTTATTCACTGTTGTGATGAATATTCTATCTGGACATTTAGATTCTCAGCATTATAATATTTTGTGGTTCTCCATAAAGTAATGCTTGATATACTTATCGAAATTGGTGTATCAATCTGAACAACAAAGTCTGTGTGATAGTTGTGGTTTCAAGTCTAATGTTTTCCCTTCAGACTATCTTGATATTGTCATTTACTTTTTAAAGTGGAATGCTTCTCACCACCCTAAATAACTTGAAAAATTACAATGCTAGTTGATTGCTTGAAAACAAAAGTTAAAAATATTATATGAAGCTACATGTATTATTGGTTTCTATCCTCTCTCTCATCCATAAAAGAGTAAGAATAAAAATCACCTCTTTGTTGAATATTTTAATTTATTTTTTTCTTTAATTGACGCTAAAAATATTATTATTATTTATTTTTACGGGGAAGGAGTAATTAAGCCGGTTTAATAGGTCAAATTGTTGTTGGAAATTTTTTTTGGCAAATAATTAATTGAAACGATCGCCTGTTCAATTTAAACAGAAAACAGCTTTATCTTGCGATCCAACCGCCCTCCTTATTAAAATCATGCAAAATGAACGAACATGATTTTTTCGCACCTCGCTCTTATTTATATCCTTAACACAATAAATCAATGACGTAAGCAATGACGTAATTGTAAAGAGTCGGTCACGTAACGCATAATGCCCCCCTCGTTCTAATTTGGTAACGAATAAATGTAATTTTACAAATGAATATCCAACCTCTCTCAATGAAACCCATTCTACACCGTTGAATAGTTTGCCACGTGGAAGATGGTCAATTAACGGGGCTGTCACCAGCGCAAACATGAGCGTGGATTCATCGTAACCGTAAAACATAAACCGCACTCGAACAGCCGTTGATCTTCTGCATTGTCGTCAATAAATAGGGTCGGCTTCTTTGGATTGGAAACAGCCTCCTTCTCGGGTTTAGATCCCTGCGTTTCCGGAGGAGGTCGAGATTAGCTATCTGGCTTCTCTTAAGGTATGGATCTTCCTATGTTTGTTTTACTTCCTTCTTCTTTTACATCGCAGGGTATCTGATAGCTTACAAGCAGACTCGTGGTACGATTTCATGGGGAGAGGCTGGTTATCCTCGGAGTTTCCAGATCTGGCGAGATCCGGTGATTTATTGAACGGGATGCGGCCGTTTTCTATCCCGGTGGAAGAAGGATGTCGTATTTACGAATCAGGTTGAGGAAGGCTTGTATACTTTGTTTCATGTAATACTGAGAAATATAGATAGGTGATCTACATGTGGATGATCGAGAAGGAAAGAGAGCTTGGATTGTGGATGAGGTAACGGATGATGTGCTATATGTTATCAGATAGATGTTGTCATCCCGGCCTTTGCCATGTTGGGTGCGCTCGCATGGCAGGCCAAACATCCTTAATAAAATTAATCTTTTTTGTGGGGGGGGTGGGGGGCAGGCCAAACATCCTTAATAAAATTAATCTTTTTTGGGGGGGTGGGGGAGGGATCGTACGGGGTGTTTTTGAACCCTGGGTTCTCCCTTGTGCGTCGTCTCTTTAGTTATGCTATGCTCTCTGCAACTCTGGTCTTCTTACTACGAGCTCGCAGCTAATGCTCTCTTCTCAACCAACTGACATACATCGTGTGAGGTAAATTTAAACAAGCTTTAGTTACTACTATCTGCAAATCTCAGCCGTTAATCAAAGAGTTTTATATAAAAATTAAAGGTTTCTAATGATCGGCCAAACATTTCAATGGCGTAAATTTCTTCTCCGAAGGTACTAAATCACGAACTCATTCTATCTATTAAGCGAATTATGAATTCCGGCTCCATCACACCAACAGTAATTTTATTTTTGAGATGTTTTTTTGCGATCTGTTGCAGCCCGAAAGATCTGTTGAGATCTACGAAAATTCAAGAAGAT